CCAAGCATGGCCATTGACCATGCACACAAGCACTCTAGTATTCTGTTTGCGGAGTTACAAAATTATGTGTCAAATACACAGAAGCCTGCAAACTCAATTTACTTTCAGGAGCGTATAAGTGAACAACAAACAGCAACTCAAGTGAACAATAAACAGTAATATCGCAACTCTCTGAAGCTTTTTAATGAGTGAAATTCTTGTGCTGACATGGTGGAAGTTTGAACTTTAATGTGCTTGTAAGCGTGACCTAGCGTGCGTGAAAACTGAGTTCAAATTTTTTGGGTCGTACATGGAACAGAAACATTTCTATAAAGTTTCAGCTTCTTAGCTTTTCTGGTTCCCGAAATCTTTTTGTGTTTGTCAAAAAGTCTTTCGCATGTGAGAACAAGAGAGCATGGACGTTCAGTTTACGCCTGAGGGCTTACACATCGATAAATTAACTTGCCAAAATTTCAGCTTTATAGGCTTTGTAGGTCTAACGATCAAAATTTACGTACAGCAGTTATGCACGTGCGCATTTACGCGCAACACACATAACACATACAGACATACACAAACACGTACAGCTCTCTGCAACATGCATTTTCTGCGCTTTCTAGATGGAAAAAATGCATAATCATTAGCGATGCTCCCCGAGCGGGCCCGTGCGATCATGTGTTTTTGCAGTATTTCGTGCTGTAATGTGATCATTCGGAAACCCACCAGCCAGAAAGTCTGAGACACTGGTGCTCGAAGCTCGGGAAGTTAATTATTTCGCGGCACCTGGACAGGGATATTCCAGCAAAATTTCAGCTTTCCTGATTCCCGAGTTAGCCATTCCCCCGCGAAAAGTTTCACGGGACCGTACGTGAGGATCACGCATAGACAGGGGCAGAATTTGGTAACTTTAAGTTATAAATGTGCTGGGAGCATTCCCTGGAAATTTCAGCCTCGTTTCTTTCTTGATTCCCGAGTTAGCACAACGAGCACTGCTTGTTAGGGCTCATGAACATAAACGTTGTATTAATCGAAAAACTGCTATACACCCACTTTCACGGTGCCGGACATTCTGACCGTGATACGTCTATTCAGTTCCTTGAGACTGCAGATGATGTTCGTCGGATTACAGAGGCTAAATTTTACTGGACTTGCCTGCTGCAGACCAATTATCCTCTTGGGCTTAATGATCATATTAAAGGTTTCGGGTTTGTTACACAGGATGCAGTACATAGCCACAGGTTCATCCCTTATTTCCATGTTCGTCTACCTCGCCTGCCACGCTCACATGGTCGAGACGTCGTACTTCCACCGTCATTAACAATACTTTTATTGACACTGTACCACCTTTCGACAGCGCCCAAGAAATACAAGCCCTCACACGTCTTCTTCACAGTCAAAGTAATCGCACCCTTCAACTCACACTTGGACGTTTAATCAAATCCAATCTGCACGGAGCCCTTGTTTGGCACATTCTCAGTTCCTTCCTTAGCACCAGACGACCGCCTCTACCACAGGATCGTAGCCGTGGAGTATTTTATGGCGTCATACCTTATCCTGGCCCTGCTTATGACGGCATAAGCTATGGCAAGCTCGTTCACAATCGCGCATTCCGA